AGCGTATCTCTGCTAGTTAAGAAGCTATAAGCCAAAACGTAAAAAAGCATACCCTACCCATCCGCCAGCCTAGTAGGGCATAACGCGCGAATATGTATAAAAGATATGCAAGATACTATAGATTAGTGCTGTAAACTGTAAGTTACAGTAACTTACAGTAACTTGCTATAATATGCAAGAGAAGTTAAAGTTTGGTGTGGTCTTGGCAAAATCCGGTCACTCGCCCGGGCCGGCCACTCGCCCGTGAGGTACGTTAGTAGCGCTCTACACGCTCTTAAATTGTCCTAAGGTATAGGCGTAAAGCGCAAGAACAATTCTACCTTCTTACTAAGTTAATATCTGCTTATGTTGTTATTGCATATTGTGTTGTATAGAAAAGTTGCAGTGCCAAGAAAAAGTGTCTGGCTTGGTGGTGTGTCTGGCTTGGTGGTGTGTCTGGCTCGGTGGTGCTTTACGTTATCAATTGTCCACTGCTCCTTTTCAACAAACCGAAGCGGCCGCTGCGCCAGTCATTCACATCGCTTCTCTGTCAGGATATGTTCTTGACCAGGATGCTTACGATTACTGTCTCTCATGTTTGTGAGAAAGACTGTATTAATATTAGACACAGCAGGCCGCGTTCAGGCACTGCAGCAATACCGACATCCTTCGCACCCACTGCACGCCTCCACTTCACCACGCCAAAAGAAGGCAAAAAAGATCTCCAATATGGGTGCTCGACCAACTGAGCGGAAATTCAAACTGATAACCCCCAGGGCAGGTTCTTCATGGCCATAGTCGTCCAGCAGCAGCAGCAGCAGCAGCAGAAGGAGCAGTCGCATTCACAGTCACCTCATAGTCACGCATTGCAAAGCGCGGACGTACCTGTGGGAGGCTTTTGGTTTGAAACAATCCGCGGATCACCGCTTGGCCAATTGGCTTTGTTTTATTGATGAAGGGAAGGATGGCTTGTATGTACTTATGGGCAGTGAGAGTAAGGAGCGGGGCAGGATGTCAGCGAGCGCAGAGAACTGTAGCAACGTAATTTTGGGCCTGGCAGCGATGTTGTGAGCAAATTTCGCTTTGTTTTGGGGAGGTGATAGCCACTGCAGGGTGCAATGAATTGCAAACAAGCAGCGCTACCTTCGTTCAATCTGTCCTCTCGGGCCCAGTATCATGCGCATCACAAGAATATCTGGGCCTACAGACTTAAGAAGCTGCATTGATGAAGATTCAGCACAGCTTGAGACTCTCCTAGCACTTGTGTGAATTGCCATAGACACGGCAACGCAGCCTTAGGGTGTGCTACTGTGACACTCTCCCCATTCGGCGTCCACGCGACTGCCGTTGCCGGCCAGCCTACCAATATTCAGCAAAGTTTCCAGGAAGGAGTAAGCAAGAGGGATAGATGAGAAGTCATATCGCGGAATTTCCCTAACTTCTGAACCACAAAAAGGCTCTCGGCCCGCTATTGTGATTGCCATCAACAAGATGACTCAGCTTGAAGGGGCGAGCTGCTTTTTATGTGCAGTGTGTGTCAAGTATGCACGGTCGGCTTAGTAGGTGACCGTCACCGTGACCACCATGCCAAGTTGGTAATTGAGGGCGATAGTGACAGGGTTGCGAGCTGGCGACGAGGTGGGGCGACGTCACTGAGCTTGCGTTGGTAGTGCGTACTGTAGCGCCGGGGTCGTTGGTACACTCAACGCAAACTTGAGAAGTGCGAGTCAAGTATGTGGAGGATCAATGAGGAAACCACGTAGATGCATGTTGTGAGATGATGAGGCGCGACGTGAGGCAGTAGGCCTTCAGGATATTGAACGTACTTTTGGACAAATCACGCACTGCAACACGATCAAGCCGGCATCAAAAGCAACGCCCTCGACGCGGCCGCCCACGTTGTTGCACTCAGCACAGCAGTAACAAACAGATCAGCCCATGTCCTTCCCTTATCAAACCAGCGCAGCAGGGTGCGCGTCCAAAAGATATTGTCATCCTCTCTCAAGTGCCACCATGCACTTACGGACCCAGACAGAAAACTGACAAGCCAGTAGATTGCCACAAACAGTCCAAGAAATCCCATGTTCCGAATGAACTCTTCTGCAAACGCAGGTAAAGGCATCGCAGTAGCCATTCCGCTCGCTGCACCCGCATCTGCACTCAGCCAATCGCCGTCAGCTCTCCAGTCCAACAAAAAGCTCCAGCTCTTCTGCCCCGCATCCAGCGTCGTATTCACGATTGCAGACACATTGAACCCAACCGCATGCCCGTTCATCCACACCATCGTCAGGTTACCGCTTCCGTGCTCCGAATGAAGCGTCTTCGACTCAACGGTGAAGAGGTCTTGGGGCACCTCGTTGAATGTCCTTGTGATAGCCATGTTTCCCAGGGCGACAGCAAGGAACGCGAGAGGTACTGCCCATGCGAGGATATAGCGAACTATCGAGCAGCATCTTGATACCCAGCCGGTAGAGGAGGATGATACCGAAGGCAATGATGCTACAGACGGTGATACTGAAGGCAGCTTCTCGCTTTCGGTTTGCATTGGGAGTGGTGGTGACGCACCTGATGACGTTGACAGCAAGTCTCTGGATGAATCTACTTCTTGTATCGGTGAGAGGTGCACGGAACTGCGGCTTCGTGCTGTTATCACGGCGGGTGCCGGTGGTGTGGGAGGAGAACGAGGTTGCGGGTCCGTGCTCACGACCGCTGGGCATGAGTGTAGGCATGAGCTGGAGACAGAGGATCCATTTGATCTGGCCGGCAGTGTGCCTTCAGGGTGCGGTCGAGACTCGAAGACCTCAGCTGGAAAGAAGGATCCTACTGCCATGCGCGATGGCCCTGCCTCTCCATCGCCATCGCGGAAAGGGTCTTGTACCTCTGTGAAAGGGGAACACGCGCCCTTTCGCGGATTGCGCTGATCCATCCACACACCCGGCTCCACGATGTTCAAAGCGCTAAGGTTCGGTTGATCCATCCGAAATCTCGAGGACGAGCCAGCTAGAGACCAAACGTCATCTTCATGACCACTCGACGGCTCGGTGTGCTCGGACAGAACCGTGAGTCGCCGACTCTCTTCGAACCGCCTTTGCGCATCAATGTTCAAGAACGAGACCACGGGGCCGTACCCGTCACTTGAGTTGTCCTCGTCCTTATCTTCCTCTCCCAAGTCTGTCCTATCTGTTTGGGGTGAATGGCCAGTGGTGAAAGCCGTACGACCATAGACTGCGTCCACACTATCATATGCTGCTTTGAGCATGGCTATGTTGTTGATGAGCGACCCCTCAATTTCTGCAAGCCTTGTCGTAACGGCGGGTATGTGCGCAGACCTTGAACTGCCGCCCATCTCGAGACCTGCGTGTGCCCAAACCTGATCAAGCTCTTTTTGTGCTCTCTGCTGCTCAATGTACGCCCTGGATTCTGGTGCCGCGATATGAGCGACTGGCTGGTGCTCGGATGTACTGATCGAAGACGGACCAGCATTGCCTTCGACCGCGGGCTTGACGGCTTCAGCCATAGGCTTGATGCGTCTCTTTGGTGGGGTCTTGTCGGTGGGATCGTACTTGAAATCCTTGATCATGGCCTCGGTAATGGACTCAGTCGACCCTGTGGCCTTGGTGACCAGCTGAGATGGTGCCGGCACTTGTTCGAAGGCTGAAAGCAGGCGCCAGCCGGATGGCGCGAGCACCTGACAAGGTCTTGCACGTAGAATCGGGGATCTCTCACCGTCTGCTTCTGGCAAACTTGACGGCGAGGGGAAAGTGGGACGCACAGGGAAGCGTCTATTCATGGGTAGCCTGGCACCTTGGAATGGTGATGTGGGCGGCGAAGGAACAGATCCAGTGTAGATCGGTAAGCTCAGTCGCCTGGTTGAGAATGCTTGAGGCTCATCAATAGGTTCTTGGGCTTTGCCCTTACCCTGCGATCTATCAGCAAATGTATTTGAAGGAGTCGTGAACTCGGAAGCGCCTACCTTTTCGGCCGTCGTGTATCTTGGAAGCTCCATTGTGATATACGCTGAAGTATCGCCAAGATTGTTTAAATATATCCACTCGAAGCTGTAGTGTCAAACCCTGAGAGTTGTGCACTTTGCTGACCGTGGACATGCAAAGAGTTGACGATGCAAGTAAGCCGAAGAGTAGAAGAGGGATGGAGATATTAGGGCTTATGAGCGCAGAAACCAACGCAAAGTGCCCAGTCAGGATCCGAAAATTGATTTCCCAGATTCGATGGCGGTCGCCCGATTTAGCATCCGTGGTGTGTTGAGGTGTGTGGGAAGGGGCCCTTGTACCGTACCAAAGTCGTAACATTCAATACCAAAGACCGAAACACGGGTCCCAAGAGAGGAGCAATGCGCAAAAGTGGGATTATAGACGTATTGACCTGAAGCATGAAACTTGGGAGAAGAGCAGCGTGCATACTGGTGCAGCTCTGATTCACAAGAGTGCAGGTAGTGTAAAGATGCGATGTGAGAACCCACAGACTTACCATTTCACTCATTTGCATCGCTATCCATCTCGTTTCTCACCTCATCAAAGTAGTGTTAGGTCAGCAGCATGCCCTGTTCCGTCGGACTTGCCGCCTCTTCGTCCCCATACAACCACTCTACATAAACACCCGGGAGACCCAATCGCTTACTCTGTGTCCTCACCTCCGGATTGGGCCTCAGTACGTACCTTTCATCGCTTGCACGGTAGTCAAAGTGAGCCTGACCTACTGCTCCTATGACCCGTTGTATCGACAACACCCCATAGAGGAACGCATGGGTGGGAGGGCAGAATAGGGTGCGAACTAGTTTTCCAATCCTGAGAGGCGTTCGTAGAGATGCGCCAGCCGGAACATCTAGAGGGCTAAGTCCAAAGCTACAGCCGAGGCCTTCCTGACCAGGCTCTGGTTTGCAACAGTCGAGTTGGTCGAATTGGTCACACCGTCCTCGCCTTCATTCCTGGTGAGTCCACCGAAATCCAGGCCAGCATTAACCGTCGCAGGTTGCTTATTGGCGTACTCGCTGAAGTCGGGGCTGGGCGTATCGTCGTTCAGCGTAGGCGAGTCTGCCGAAAGCGAGAGCGACGATGTCTTGACGGACGAATGTCTGGGCGGGATAGTCAAGTGGAAATCGTGGGAAGGCAAACATGACGCCTGTCCACCATCATGACTATCTGACATGGTCAGTGCCTTAGATGAGATATTTGCTCTGAATTCAGGTGATGCGTGCAAGTTTACGCGAGGCGGTTGAAACGGCTGTGGACAAAGCTGAAGTAGGTACAGGACCGGGAGAAAATGGGAGCGATCTTTCTGCTTGCCTTGAGCGTGAGAAAACACAACCCCCTGTGTGAGAACGCATGTTCTGGCGTGTCAGCGCAACATGTTTCGAATGCTCACGATGCAGTGCATACACACCAATCGTCCGCAATGTTGAGGCTGAGTCGGTTGTACCGGTCGATCTGCAGCAAGGATCCGCTGTCTAGCGTCAGGCCCAGCGTCAGGAACGCTCACCGCAATCAAAATTCGCGTTCACCAGTTGAACAGTGCTATCGTTGGTCAGGTCCTCTCATTATTGAAGATGCGACATACCTCTACACTTGACGCAGCGCTGCTGCCTCTATTCGTCCACTTCACCTGTCCATATGATATCTGTTAAAATTCCCTCCCTTTTCCCTTTGTTTCGTTGATTACACCCTGTTTGGAAACATTCGACAAATTTTTAGCCTCTCCACAATGAGACACTCTGGAGTTTCACTGATCCTGGCGCTGGTCGCCGCCCCTTTCGCAGCCGCTGGGCGAGCCTGCAATAATGCTGAGGAGCTGTGCGATACTTCGTACGACCAGATGACACATCTCGGAGCGCACGATTCGCCATTCCTCCGTGACTCTTCAACCGGTTTCTCTTCTTTCGGTAATCAGTTCTTCAACAGCACCGTGCAGCTCGACGCTGGTGTTCGACTACTTTCGGCGCAGATTCACGTGGCCGCGAACAAGGATACAAATGCCCGAGAGATCCATCTCTGCCACACATCATGTGGACTATTCGATGTGGGGACGCTCCAGACATGGCTTTGGGAGATCCATCTGTGGATGGCGGCGAACCCCAACGAGGTGGTGACGCTGGTGTTGGTCAATACGGATGGCATCACTGCGGTTGAGCTGGAGACCGAGTATGCACGAGCCGATATCGCACACTTTGGATATGTTCCCGAGAACATCAATCACGCACCTGCACCTTCTAGCGAGTTCAAGAAGACATGGCCAACGCTGGGAAAGATGATCGACGAGGGCTCGCGGCTCGTCACCTTCGTCCAGCCGTTAAATCCAGACAAGATGAACGCTCCATATCTTCTCAACGAGTTCGACTTTGTATGGGAGAACGCATACGATATACGCAATGCGACAGAATTCGCCTGCAAGCCCGATCGACCCTCCAACACGACGACGGTCGACCAGGAGCGCGACTCCGGCAAGCTGATGCTGATGAACCACATGCTGTACTGGCAGCAAGCCATGGGCATCGAAGTCCCCGACATTCGCAACATCAATGATACAAATTCCTGGGATGGCACAGGAGGCCTCGGTGAGCACATGACGAAATGCGGTCAGGATGTCGCAAAGCAGCCGACGTTCGTGCTTGTCGACTTCTTCAATGTTGGGCCAGCGATCAAGGCGGTCGACAACTTCAACGGCGTGGATGCACCAGTAGGCCGGAAGAATGTGACAACAGAGGTCATCGCAGGGGGTGCGGGCAACAACTACTACGTCAATGCTGGTGAAAAGACGAGCAGCAACGCACGGGCTGCGCTGGTCGTGGTCTTGCTGGGAATTGCTCTTTGTACGTAGTTGGCACAATTGGACTGAATAGGGATGAGACAATCGATAATCACACATTTGAATCTATTGTTGTAAACATGCCTGCGTACGGTCGCGATGCAGTTGAGGGGTGATGTCGTCGCGGACGCATCGGTCGGGACTCGGGGGTGCCAAGGCGGAGCACCTGCCGAAAGTTGCATGTGAGATGGCAGGAGCCTCGCCTCGACATCACAGCAAATATGATCCTGCGGAGGACCTATGTCCCTTCGGCAGCGCTGATACGCGCACTCGCACGACCGCAATCGCCACGATGTGCCTTCGCCCGCCCGCTCCCCGCACAATTTGTGCGCGGCAAGAAAACAAAGTCCCAGAAGGCGCGAGAAGCCGAGACGGCAAGATTGGCGTGGAATGCTCGTAAGGAGCGGCGCGCAGAAGAGGCGGAGGAGGATGAAGACAGGGCTGAGCAGCAAAAAGCGCAAGATGCTCTGGAAAAGATGAAAAAAGACCCAATACATGGTGCTACCGCAAAGGAAGTGCTCAAAGTTATGAAGCTCTCGCAGGATCCAGAGGCATTCGAGAAGATTTTTGAGGGCGGAGAGAGGCCAATCTTCAAGGATGGCGAGGAAAGATACTTCGAGTTCTTCGAGGAGGATCCAGTTACAGGCGAGCGAGTCAAGGTTGACAAGCTGGGCAGCGAAGCAGATCAGGTCAAGGAGGTGGAGACGCTGGAGATGATCAAGAAGTACATGGCGGATCCCAAATACGATGCAGCTGAGCTGAACAAGCGCATGATGGACAAGCTTATGGCAGATCCTGCGTTCGCAGACCTCACAGAAGATCTGAAGGAGATCAAGGAAGAGATCTTGTCCAAGGAGGAGGAGAAGGAGCTCGAAGAGCAAGCCAGGAAAGATGCGGAGCCAGACATCAAAGAGATGGGGACGCAGATTCGAGCCACAATTCAGGAGGCAATCATCAAACTCTACGACGATCCTGATGTTGGCGATGCCAGAGAGGATCTCGGAGCTGTGCTTCGCAAGCTGCCAGAGATCGAGGACCTCGAGGACCCTGAACTGCAGCGGCTCTTGGACAGAGCCACTGAATCCGTCAATCAGAACCCCATACTCCGAGCAAAACTCGATGCCAGCAACGAGCTTGAGACCGAGGAAGAGAAGCAGGAATGGGCTGCCTTCGAGAAGGAGATTGACGACCTACTGGAGCCGGACGATCCGGAAGACTTCCCCAACCTCGAAAATCCGGAAGAGATGAACCAGCTGCTCGTTGAAATGCGCGAGCTCATGAAAGAAATCGAAAACAGCGACGAGCTCACCAAGGAGCTAGACAATGGCGCAGAACTTCCCACAGAAGAGCAGGCAGAGCAGCTCGCTGCGTCAGTCGCTCGCTTTGCAGAGCTTCACGGCTCGAGCGACCCCACTAGCAAATCCTCGATCACCGCATCCACGGCCACGGATACCGCAACTACCGCGAACCCTGACGCGGAACAAGAGGAGCACATCTCGCCAGAAATGCAAGCGAAAGTCGACAAACTCATGAACGACCCGCGCCTCCTCGAGAAACTCACTTACATCCAGAAACTCATGGCCGAAGCCGCACCCCCGCGCGATCCTAATGATCTGACCCAGATTGACGTCGAGCTCGCCCCAGATCCCTACGAGATGGAGGATTCGCGCACCGCGACCCTGGCCCAGCGAATGGCCATCGCTCGCGCAGATCCAGAACACCGTGCCGCCCTGAAAGCTCTGAAGGTGAAGCTGCAACCAATGTACAATATATCGCCTGCCCTAAAGGGCTTCAACCAGGCAATATCTTTTGCATACGTGGGCGCGAATGACGACGTGCGCCGTGTGCTCTGGCGGTGCTACCAAAAAGCACGTAGACTGCCCACGTTTCTGCAGAATTTGAGCGACGATGCATGGGACATTCTCTACTACAGTCAGGCAGTCACTTGGGCCGGCAACCAGAACCGCACAGATCATCTCAAGGCTTTGCTTGCTGATCTGGCCACGGTTGGTAAGAATGGGCCGCCTACGCACCCGAGCCAGCTGGGACAGGTCCAGGAAGCTGCCCGGCTGGAGGCGGCGCAGCAAGAACAGAGAGAGGCCAAGTGGAGAGCAGGCAGGATGGATGCGCAGGTGTAAGCGACGACAATGATGAGTGTACAATAGCACATGATACCCCTCTTGCGGAACTGAGCCCTGTGATGATGTGCCTCCAGGAGTTTTGGTGACAGGGTCTGACCCACTGCAACATTCGGTATGTTCAATATTGCTTCAGGTTCAGGGTCAGTGGGTCCTGACGTATGCGGGCGCTCCTTCGAGACATCGTTCGCTGAAGAAGTTGCGGCCAGATGCGCCGTTGGCCCAACACAGAAACGGGAGCAGGAGGGAAGGAGACCTGGCTTTAGTAGAGCGCACAGCGGTGAGGATTCAACTGGCTCCTCGCTGGGTCTCTTCATCTTGGGCAAATCGCGCAACATTGAAATCCCTGTTTCCCAAGTATCCACTAACATTGAGCGATTTCACTCGTGGGGGCCTCATTGAATTCAGTCACGCACTATTTATTCAGGTCTCACCTCCAGGACTTCCACGAAGATGATGGGGGAAAACACGCCTCGACTCATTCTTCGCGCCAGTGCTGGTGGTGAGCAAGGGATTGCTAAAGACCTCCAGCCTGGTGCGCCAGGGGCTCTCGCCCAGGTAAATACGAAGTTTCGAGGTCCCGTCATCCAATTCGACCTCTGTGACGATCCGACATCGGTTACGGAGTCATCTTCAGACATTGGGGTACTGATGGAGGATCCTGTCACGCCCGTGAAGACCTCGACAGATGTCGATGCGCAACAGCTCCAGCAGCTTCACGAAGAGAGCAAGACTACGGTCGGCCAAAATTAAATGAGCCGGAGAAGCCGTCCTGGGTAACAGGCAGTGTTCTTGCTGTAGTGTGGGCGATAGCATTCGCACTGACTGTGTTTGGTGTCGCGAGGATCTTCCCGCTCGATCATCAGTCTCTCGCGTGTGCGCTGGAGCGGATTCACACATGTGCACCGCCTTCGCTTTCATCTATATATAATCCCCATGTGAATACCACGCTGCCAAAAGCGCTGAAGCCGTTATTTTCCTCTGATCCAACCGGACGATGTCAGCAATGTGGTTCTTTGATAGCATGTCAAAGGCATCAGAGAGCCCAGCCTCATCATGGGTATTGTATATATCATTGAAGAGCTCAAGTCTGCTCGGGGGTATCTTATGCTGACGCCAAAAAATGCACGATGATAACTACGAAACCTCAGAGCTCCTTGCTCATGATAATGTAGTCGGCCTTGATGACCTTCCTCCTCGTCACCCTGTCCTCAGGGCTGATGCCATCTTTCACAAAGCCCTCCCTATCATACAACCTCCTTGCGCTCTCGTTGACCGTGAACACGGTCAGCATTGTCTTGCTGATCTTGACTAAGCGTGCTTGACTGATTGCCCAGTTTATCATGGTACCACCGAGGCTCTGTCCGCGAAGCCGATCATCGAGATGGATCTCATACATGTAGAGAACCGGCCTCATCAGCTTCAGCTCCTCGTCCTCGGGCTCCAGTTTGAACGACATGAAGCCAAGGATCGCTCCAGCGTGATGTGCGCTGGGGTCACGATCCCCGATGATGTCAAGTCCGATGTAGCCTTCTGCCTGGCGCACCAGAAAGTACATCATATCCCTGTCTGACATCTCTTCTAGCTTGTAGTCTGGATTCCAGCCTAGACTGGACGACCTGTAGGCTTGTTCCGATGTCTTGGAAATGAGGTCGAAGCACGCAGCAAGCTCGCTGTTGCTCATCTTGGTCGATCGCTTGAACTCGAAGCGAAGAGCACGATGTAGTTCGAGGCCGACGAATGGCTGGAAGGTGTATGAGTACAGCTCTGCGTGAGCATTGTATGCTTCGAGGAATGCAGTGCGCTGCTCGAGAGGCGTCTCGTCGACGATACTCGGTGCTGGTAGTGAGCTTCCCGAGGAGGAAGAGACGTCGTCTTGCAGTGTCTGAGCAGATTGGAGGCGTTCGATGCGCAGGGAGCTGTTGTCGACATTGTTGTCGACGCCATTGACTGGCACGGAGCCCGGTACTGGAGGCTCTTGGGGGCTGGGTGGCTTCTGAGGTGACATTTGAGGATTGTTGGCAAGAGTAGAGGCAGTCGAGTCAATCCTGAAGAGCTTGCGAGCATCCTGAGGCTCTGCTGGGCCTGCTTCGGCGGCGGGGCTCCTTCTCCTCTTCCGCAGTGACGTGCGAGTCTTGCCGCGCGAGGTCATCTGCCCTCTCTCGCCCTCCAAATCAGAGTGTCCGAAACACATGGCGTCCTCCGATTGCACCGAGATAGCGAGCGTTAGGTTTGACCATGGATGGTGGTGGCGGATGCAAAGTTTTGTGGAGCTGAGCGCGTCGAGAACTGGGGAGACGCGCCCGTGGGGCCGCAGGGCTGTTCATGCAGTCTAGGACACTCGTAGGCTAGTTCCTGTCTCCCGTCCGCATGCATCTCGATAGCGAGCCTCATCGTGAACGCCATCTCGGGCATCTCAGTTCGCACACTCTTACCTTGTCTCGCTGTTAGCATCTGCCTCTGTTTCATCCAGGCCTTGTCGAGGGAATGCTGCGCAGGTATGCAACGATAGCTACGAAGCCGCCTTCCCGGCTGCAATCCCGGCTGCAAGCGCGAGGAAAGAACCCACTCGGACTCGACCGCGTATACTCCGCAAGTCCTATGACAACTTCTGTGTCTTTCTAACGATACCCATAGTTCATCGAACGCCAGAAAGTGATCGCACTGTGGCGAGACATCGTTCGCAGTACCAACAACATCGAGGACTTGGCCACGAGGACAGACATGAGACAGTTCGCAAGAGTAGAAATCGAACAGCATCGTCACGTCACTGACTTGGTATGCACTCATGAATCGCATCCATTCAACGACATCCCTGCTGATCGCTCATCTGCAGGATCACATTCGCTACCTACTCTCCGTAAGACCGACCATACGCACTTACTCGGCATGTAGCTGACCTCTACAGACTGGGAAAATTCAGTTTCAAACCATGAAAGGCACCCTCATCAACTCTGGGCTTCTAACTGAATGAAAACAACGTACAAGTCCTCTTTCTCTCCTATCTCGTGCTGCTCTTGCCTAGTCCCTCATTGGCTGAGAACCGAGGGGTTCTCGCTAGCGCGCTTTCCGTCTCCCCGCCCATGCCCATGTCAACACCCTGAAGTTCTCAACACCATCAACTCGATCATTCGCACTGCTCTCTCGCTCGTGATCTGTAATTCCCTTGCTCCTGCCAGGACCATTGGTATGTCTTACAGCACTAAAGCATTCCAAGCTGCAACACAGAGTGACTGGCTAACGTACTGGCAGCATTGTAGACTTCAGTTGTGTTATGGTGTTCACGAGATCTGTTTGCATTATCGGTGCGGGACCTTCTGGACTGGCCGCAGCAAAGGCATTCCTGCAGCACGGCAGCTATGTCGTCACCGTGTACGAGGTTGCTGACCGTGTGGGTGGCATGTGGAGAGCGCGGTCCGGCGATTATGGTGACAAGTGCAGCCCGGAGATGAGAATAAACCTAAGCCGCTTCACTGTCGGCTTCTCAGATCTATCATGGTCATCTGTTGACCTTTCAGACCCTGTGACTGGAGCGGCTTCCCCTTCGGCACCTCCAATGTTTCCCAAAGCATGGCAAGTCGGGCGGTATCTCGAGAAGTATACCGAAAAGTTCGGCCTAGAGTCGAACATCTTCTTCAACCGCAAAGTCGTCAACGCAGATATCCTTGAAGACATGAAGACCTGGCAGGTGTCAACTTACGATTTGAGAACGGATGAGTCTGAGACAAAGACCTTCGACTATCTCGTCATTGCAAGTGGTTTCTTCAATCAACGAGGCCGCTCTTTCGCTCCCTCAGCCGGTGGGAACACCTCGAACATCCAGCATTCCTCCGCCTTCCGCGATCTTCTTTCGCTCACAGAGAAATCTGGGAAGATCGCTGTCATTGGTGGGGGAATCAGCGGATCCGAAGCTGCCGCCCAAGCTGCCTTCCAGATCTCAAGCGCCAAGAACTCGCCCGGCAAGAGCAAGCCTGCCTACGCGGAAAGCAGGATCTATCACATCATCAACCGACCTTTCTACTCTCTCCCCCGATACCTTCCTCAGAATCCTCTTCAGGAATCCTCGCAAGACACCAATCTGGCACCAACCTTCTTACCACTCGACCTCGTCCTCTACAATCTCTCGCGCCGTGGAGAAGGTGAGATCTCGGCATCGATAACGACGGTCCCGCCTGAGAAGGCACAGAAAGGCCACGAGTTCATGCGATCGGTAATTGGTGGCGATCAGCAAGAGTACGGAAGCCCGGCGCTAGTGTATGCAGCAGATCAGACGCAGTACCCTGCATACTGTGGGATCAGTGACACTTATCTCGAGTTCGTCAGGAGCGGACTGATTGTACCAGTGCAAGGCTGGGTCGAGAGCATTGAGCAGAAAGACGACGGCGACACCTTGGATATTGCGCTGGAGCATAAGGGGCCATGGTCCAGAGAGGCAGGGGTATGTGCACATTTACCGCCATCTCAAGGCTTTGTACTGAAACTTTCCCAGACCAAGAGTCAGCTCTCTGATGTGACAGGTATCATTGAGGCCATGGGCTACAAGGTTGACCTCGACTACCTACACGATACACCGAAGGGCTTCCTCTACCCCGACTCATCCTGTCCTCGCATCCCTTTTCTCCTCACTCGCGGCTCTATGCTCTCAGACAATCCCACTCTTGGGTTCGTCGGGTTTTATGAGGGGCCGTACTGGGGAGTCATGGAGGTACAGGCACGCTACATCGCCAACTCCTGGTTCGAGTCGACCCCTGATCCCATGAATTTTCCGAGAGTTGGTTTGAACCAGCTTGACACCACCGAGCGTATGCGACACCAGCTTCGATCTGAGGGCTCTCTACAAGTACCTCAGTTCTGGATGGCTGACTACGTCGGTATCATCGAGGAAATTGCACGGGAAGCCGGCGTCACGCGGAAAGACTCAGCCTTTGGCGGCCAGAATGGCCCTGTTTTTCCATCGCGCTATCAGGGTTCCGGCACAGATAACGAGGCTGATGTTGTTGTGCAGGAGGTCGCGAACACACTGAAGGCTTCGAACGAAGACGCCAAGTTCGTCGCGGCTGCTGTCTTTCGGGCCATGCAGGGCGTCTGGTCGTTACATCGCAAAATTGCCAGCCATAATACCAACCCTGGTGGTGTACTCACAGGTACAGCACAATTCCACCCTCGCGCGCCTACCGACCCTGCATACGCCGCCGAGTACCTCTACATCGAGAAGGGCGTCTTCAGCATGGACAATGGACTTTCCTTCCATGCGACTCGCCGCTACGTGTACCGCTACAACGAGACAACGGACAAGATTACAGCATGGTTTGTCGATGAAGATGGCGAGTCAACAGGTGTCTTCTTCAACATGTGGGAGTTCTATCCTCCTGCAGATGAGCGACATGGATGGATGGCGAAGGGCCATCATTGGTGTGATCCAGATACATACAAGAGTGGCTGCGAATTCAAGTTCCGCGGTGCAAGCCTGCAATCCTTCGGTATTACGTACGAGGTCGCTGGGCCAAAGAAGGACTACAATCATGAGAGCTCATACGAGAGGCCGAAGAACCAGGAGAGCTCTACCAGCCTACTGTAGAGGGCCAATCTTGATCACAGCGACCACGAAATTTGCCTCGTCTTACTGTTGAGGTCGGTTATTCCCTGCTCGAAATCTTGGACATTGTTGGCAAATCTCAGGTACTAAACGCTTGCACGATATGTACCGCTTGATTCAGGATTGTCTTACTTCTCTCGATCACTTCCGTACGAGATAGGTGCCGGCGATGTCCTGAAAGGCACCCTTCGCAGTCGGCCCGGTCTCGTTCGTTTTTCACCTGGTCGATCTTTTAGATCACATTTGTACTACCAACTAATAACAATCTTGTGGTCAATTTCATTGACTTGTCTGATTATCAGTTGTCCAACCCCTCGAGAATGCTAATTTGATCAGGAACAGCTTCCGCCAACCAACGCGACCTTGTGTTGGGCTGTCTCACCACATTCGTGGGATCGTGCGAGACAGTCATAGCCTTCTAGGTGATGACTCTCCGATAGTCACTTTAAGGTTGCACAGTACTCGACCCTCCATCTTTGCTTTCTCCAAAGGCAATGTTCGCCTGAGTTGACAGCTCGTATGACTACGGTGGTGGACCTTGAGTGTCTTGCTTAAACTAGGCCTTCTGGCACGTCTTTAATGCTCTATTGAGTATTCGTGTTGAGAGATCTGAAAAGCACACAGGGCCTCAGGAACCTCAGACCGAATCCTGGCCGACCGTCCAAAACCATGTAGCTATCCAATTCCCGTCGACTGCCACGGATACTCTGATCATATGCATCAATTGGGAAGATGAGAGGGCTTTGATTTGGTCGATGTGTCGATCGAGACGGTTCACTTGCCGTTGCTTGACACCACTTATCCTACGTCCCATGCCTCGGACTCCTGTCGCAGACAGACACACTGTGCGACCGTCACAGCAGTTGAAAACGAGTGCTTTGTACATATCGTTGGTCTCGCATTGTGAGCCTCTGGCCACGTCGCATCGGAAGTGGACGGACGGTCGAACCTGTCCTACCACCTTACGGCCAGCTCGCATGTCTCGGCTCAGGATGTAGGGTTTGCACATGGAATGTATACTAACACAGCGACGAGTTGATTAATCGTCTATTACGTATCGTTCTTCAATCAGCTGTGCTTCTCGAAGCGCTGGACACCGCATCTAGACCTAGCCATACAGCGCCGTGCCTGATGGCATGCTACCACACGGTATCGCGCACATCATTTCCACCTTCGCTACCTATGCCCAAGTCCAGATAACGATTTTCAACAGATGGCAGACGATAAGGCTCTATTGCACGGTGGTTAGTGCCTGTAGTCCTAAGTTTCAGCGTTCGAAGCAACAAAGACGAGGCGATGAGTTGTGATCAGCGCAGATCTTTCGATTTTCCAGTCCATGGACCCGCAAGCATATCTCATATTTAACGTCACGACGAGAACCCTTCTGGACCATCCTCATCCCTCAACTTGAGATCGTCTCGATACAGATCATCTGCTCAAGCAAAATTAGTCACTCGGCTTTCACCTCCGCGACCAAGTGCAGCATTGCCTCCGATCGCCTTGGTGCATCGCTGGACCTGTCTTTCAATCAATTAGCAACCACCACAATGAAGATTGAATTCCTTCTCATCTTCTCCCTGATTGGTCTTGGTTCGTCTGGCCCCGCAAGGCGAGACTGTGGCCAGAAGAAGTGCCACGATGCCGTGAACGAATGCGGCATGGCATACGGCGGGTGAGTCACGTAAATCCATATTCACGTGTAGTGAGATGCTGATTCATCATTATTGTTACGTGAGCTGACTAGCACGCAGATGTTGGACTGAGTGTGCCAACGGTGTCATGAGCTTGCGCACGTTCACAGTGCCGCCCTGTTCTTCCCGCATTAACTCCGCGGTATGCACAGGTACGGGCTATCAAGTTGAAACATCTAGTACAACTCTTTTCCTGGATGTCATCACAGCCAAGTCGTCCATCACTACACCTCCCAGCCCATACCATACTCAAGCGCCACGCTCGAGACGTACCCGTACTTGCTCCCCGTTATGGCTGTGTATCGACAAGCTAGCAGTCTGTGGAAACTCGACACAGATGTATGGCGGGTGAGACTCACTTCCGTTATGTTCCCATCCCTCTCATCTTTATGTAGAGATTGATTCTTCTAACCACTGACACTGCACAGATGCTACGATGTCTGCACGTCTGCTCCACCTTTCAAATCTCCTCCCTGTACCATCTCTTCAAGTACCATAGCGGCAGATTCGAGCACTACAGAGGTGAACTTGAGCACCACAGAGGTGGTCTCAAGTATCACAGAGTCAGTCTCCAGCACCACGAACGCTGGCTATGTAACCGCCACTCCGACCCCTCAGCCCGGAGCTGCGTATACCACAGATCCTCCTGCTGACAGTATTGCCCCTGTCATAGATGACAGTAAAGCTCTCGTCATGGCAGAAATGCCCAATGCTGGCGTTGCTGTTCCGGCGTCCGAGCCTTCCGCCGCTTCTGTGCCTGCCCATGACGCAGGCGAATTCAGAATAGCCAATGTGCCGGCTGACCATGCGGCTCCGGAACTTATTCAGGCCCCTCAGTCTCTTCGAGGCGCAGCTATCGCTAAACTACTGGCGGACAAGAATCGGAAGCCGAAGACCGAGAACATACCATGCTGGGACAGCCCTACCTGTAAAGAAGTCCAGCTTGGTATACCGTCACCGTTGCCATCGTCGGTAGCCTCCGCGTCTGAGCCTGCAGCTATACCTACAGATGAACCAACAGCGGCACCATCAGTGGAACCAACAGCGGAGCCGCCAACCGACGTCCCAGCAAACACTCCAGCAAACACTCCAGCAAACACTCCAGCAAACACTCCAGCAGACGCTCCAGCAGACGCTCCAGCAGATGTCCCGGCAGATGTCCCAGCAGATGTTCCAGCAGATCCCCCAGCAGAAACTTCTGCGGAAGCCTCAGCAGATGCCCCAAGAGATGTTTCGACGGAAGACTCGATTGCCTAAGTTACGCCAAGGATTTGTTGCAAGCTGGATTATCGGCGCCGAGATCCTAGATTCCGGAGGCAAAGCTGACCTGGTACAGCAGACGGAAGGCTACAATACGTTGCTGAATCAGATATGGTCACTGGTAGTTTCTTTTAGTGTTACGGGCTTGTTGCAGTTTGGCGAGGTGTTCTGATGGGGTCCGTATACGGCCTCGGTGCCGGTAAGCGTGGCGTTCCTTTGTTGCTCAAGTTCCAAATTGGCCCTCTTTCTTTGTCCCGAATCACGGCTCCAGTCTTCCAAGTAGATGAGTACAAGGTTCTTTAGGCCGGCACATATGATACTAGTCGAGTCATTGTTTGTTTGATTATCATTGTCAGATTACTGCTTTGTCTGGCCGAGTCCGAGTCCACGCTCCACCCCGAATTCATCTCAACATGCACGCCCGATTTCAGCCAAAGCCCCATTGCCTTATGCGTCGCTCGAAGTCTCATCTCCAGATCTCTGAACTCGTGTGGCTTCGCATCAGCTCTCTCAAGTATCTTGCTGCCATCTACCAGTGGACAGGTCTGCCAGAATGAGACAGCACTGTAGACTCGTCAACTTTGCCGCCCAGTACAGCTTGGAGAAGCACTTGCATGGAGACTCGAGCTTTGGTATGCCATTCTTGCTGAATACGTCCGCATCGAAGCGCAATATCTCCATTGTCAGCCATCCACAGAGTAATACTAGTGTTACTTTGTTCATTCGTAACTTTCAATTACACTCTAAGCAGCCTTAAATCTATTTTTGCTTCTTAGCTTTGTCGTACTGAGAAGCGCGCAGTGTCTCACGTGCTTGGACCCTACGGAGTGATGTGCGGCGGGGAATGGATGAGTGAGTAAGAGGGACTGCGGACACATGCGAGATGACGATCGCCTGTGTACCGTATATATCGAGGATGCCAATCAAGTTGCTAGCATCTGTGTCCGTAAGCTCGTTTGCAAACATGGCCCTTGATCCGTAAACGCTGCCACCGGCGGTGGCAACAGCACTGTCGACATCCTTCCCATCATCATGGAACGAATTTCGAACGGACTAGCGCTCAGGAGGCGTGGAGCTGCGCGAGTTCTGATCTTTGGTCGGTTGTGTGAACTCTCATGTTGGGACTGCGCCACTAACAGGACTATCGGTGGCATGGTCGTGCGAAGACATGCGGGTGTGTTGAGACATATTAGAGCTTTGTATATGGCACGAGTCTACGTTTTCCGTCTGCTACTCTCACAGTCGTGAGGATGCAAAGTGTTCAAGCGCCCCACTGTCAGGGTGAAGAAGGGGCCGGCACAGCAGCGCGAGCAAGACACATACATTCGGCTCAGAAACCCGGGCTCTCATTTATATAGCTCGAGCTTCTGCTTCCTTCCTCTTGTCCCTCACAACCACAAACTCAACTTCATCAATTTCAAAACTTCCTCCGATATAGCCAAAAACGCCTCTTTCGCATCTGCTGGCAAGGGCGTCAACGTAAGTTCCGCTCTTCTCCAATACGCATTGGACTTCGCTAATACTCAGTAGCACAACCGGATGGACAGCGATCCCTTCGGGCATACGCCGCCCCAGGTCTCTACGCGCCAGTTCTTCACAATAGCGCAGAGCCCGACGACTCTCTGCGCGCCATAATCCACCGCCTGATGGAGCCGCCGAAATACCTCTACTCCGAGGAGGGTCAGTAAATCACGCTCAACATCACTTAGGCGGTTGGCGTTGTCGGTCGTGAGCGCTTCGAGCCAGTGCCGCTAGGTCGCCACCTGAGTCTGCGCCAGGACGACGAGCTGAGGGCAAGAGGTGTAGAGCGGGGTCTCAGCCAAGAGTTGGACTTGACAGAAGCCACTAAGCCATCACTGCTTCTACAGTGGCAGCTCTTCGATCGCACTGTAGTCTCCAGATCGACCCAGGCTAACACCTCACAGCGCCTCCCCCGTTTACTGCGACTCCTCGCCAGCACCCTCCTCACCCTCGCTCGCCTCGTCGAGTGTGTCCGCGGCTTCTTCGGCAGCCTCATTGACACTCTCTTCTCGCCCTGGCGATCTGAGGCACCCTCCCCTGTTCTCCAGGTCGCCTCGTCCACGACTTCGCCTTTCTCCGCGCCGGTTGGCCCGGCTCCTTCTTCGCCCTCTCCGCCCTATTCTCTGCCGCCAACTCCTCCCTGTCCGCAGCTCATCCTCATATCCGCCCCATCAATGCCCTCCATGGGTGGGTCGGCGAACTGGCCCTCGACGATGGCGACGACTGCGCCAATCGACATTCCCCCGTCGATGCCCCGTGGTAGACCCTGGAGAATGGGTGACTACGATGGTTAGGTGGCGGTGTTGGTGAAGTGGTGGTGGTATCTCAACCCAAAGGCGTACTTTCAGACCTGCGGGATGACGTCTTACACAACGCGGCGTAGACGACTGAGTGGTGCGCGGTGGGGTATTTGCTTGAGATCCAAGTCATGTATGTAACGAGATTGCTTTCGGTATTTTGGCGTTTTGCTATGGGGCTGTGGAGACCTCCTGCGTGGGTCGTCGGCGCTGATTTGGTGCTCGTTCGCACGTCGCATTACATTCCCAGAGGTCTGAACTTACTTGGAGCCATCATCGAATGGGCGCAGTAAGGAGTGACTTCGTGGCGTTCATGGACGATACCCTGGGACTTCCATTTGGTTTGACGAATGCAATCTTTTCCCCTCTTCTACAATCTGACCTTACTATGCAAGTGATTGACATTGTGAATTGAATGAGGCAAGGGTTAAGGCTGCAAGATTATGGCGAAAGTAGACAAGGGAAGGCATTGTGGACAGTTTTTGGCTGAGTTCATCCCACTGTACCAAACCCATGAAGCGCGACCGTAGAGACGAGTGGGCTACCAGCCGGATTTTTTCCAAGGACTGGAAGAAAGAAGAAGACCCCAAGAGTTCAAGCACTGTGCCAGAATGTTGATAAGTTCTTCATGTGTTCATCGATGGAGATGTCGTCGGTGTTTGTGGTCGCCGACCGAGCAAAGATTGGGATCGATGACGCGCCTTTGACCGTTGCACGAGGCGCGGCGTTCTAAGCGAGGCGCGTCAAAGCAGATTGGCATCGCTGATTCTGCCCTTTCCATGAAGTGGTGCATTCGGCGGCTGGGCGCTCTAGGCGGAATGCCGAGGTCGATGCTGTTGCTTCAAGAATCCGTAATGCTTGAAGCGCAACGCCCGTGTGCTTAAGCTCAAGAGGAACATCGAGACCTACCCTTGAAGAGTCATGTCACATTGAGAAATAGACTCTTGGTGATTCATCATCGGTTCAACCCACGTTCTGCCATGCCCAGCTCGGTCTCGCGTTGCGCGGGATCCAGAACTCCGCCGGAAGTCGGGGCGCATCGTGGCATGATTGGAGCGTCGACGGGCCGTCGAGATTCGATGGCGGGAGAACATCGATCCGCTTTCAACAAAACCATCCCTAATCCGGGGCGTCGCGCGAGGCAAATGAAGACGACAAGACATTGCCGCTTGGCCGTCGTATGCAAGTGCATTGTACGCGACTCTCGCTTATAGGCCTTTGCGTGCTCAATTCGCCTCCTGGAGATGACCTCTGGACGCCACGCCCTTGTCTTACTTTACTTTATGTTAGATACCCCTGGAGCATGGGAGCATGGGAGCCGCATCCATCTTGTAATCTGTAATTTCGACACATCCCAAGGCTAGAGTCGAAACCCTTACCTGCCGGTCGAACCTTCCTTGAGCGCGCCCAACGGGGCAACGACAACAGCCATGGCGATCCTTAGCCAGACGTGGATCCTCACCAAGAAGACGCTGCTCATCGTCGCATGGCGGCAGTGGTTCTTCACGAGTGTGCGCGCCTTCTGGGCGCCTATAATCTTTGTATGTTGATATCGCATTCCCGACCCGAGTATTTGTTGACCATAGCAGATGTTCTTCATCACATACGCAAAAAACTTCTTCATCCCACCTTCTGAATTCGGCATCGGCAACGCAACACCCATTCGATCCTTCCCCAACGCCCTCGCTGCTGCTACGGGCGGTCGCGACAAGGTCATCTTCGTAAACAACGGACATACCGGCGGTGATATTGAGAGCGTCATAGGACAGCTATCGAACCAAGTGCGCGATGCTGGCCTACAACCCATTATAATCAATAATGAGGTGGAGCTTCTGACAACATGTTCATCGTCGCTGCGTGGCGCAAGCACATGCTTCGGCGCAGCGTCCTTCCACTCGAGTCCCAATGAAGGCGGTGGACCGGCCTGGAACTACACACTGCGCGCTGACGGCGTGTTGGGAACACAAATCTATGTCGGTGAGGAGGACAACGATGTGCAGATCTACATTCTGCCTTTCCAACGCGCCATTGATGAGACAATTGCCAGTTTGAATAGCTCAGCCGACGTGATCCCCACTATCGACGGGTTTCCATACACCGATCGCACGCAGGAGGAAAGAGACGAGCGAATCCGTGTGCTGTATATGGGCGCACTCATCAACATCATGGGCGCTGCATTGTACATTGGTGTTTGCGGTGTGACCTATCAGCTTACCGGACAAATGGCTGAAGAGCGCGAGCGGGGGATATCGCAACTGGTGGAAGCCATGTCCCCGGCCAAGAAGGCGTGGCATACACAATTCGCACGGCTCCTGGCAAACCACATCGCGTTTGACATCATCTACTTCCCCGGCTGGGTCATCATGGGACTGATCGTATGGGCCCTTGCCTTCAAGTCTTCCAACGCGGGAATTCTGGTCATCTTCCATATCCTGGCTGGTCTGTCGCTGACGAGCTTCTCCATCTTCGGTGCTGCGTTCTTTCGCAAGGCTCAGCTGTCTGGTATCACGATTGTCATCGTTCCCATCCTGCTCGCCATCATCGCGCAAGTCGCAGGCCCGTTCGGCACTTCGGCGGTATACGTTCTCAGTCTGATTTTCCCCTCCATCAATTACGTCTTCTTCATTGTCTGGGTCGCACGTTTCGAAAGAAAACTTACAGGTGCCAATCTAGGCCAGGGCGCCCCCGACTACGAAGATCATGTTTGGACGACCCCTGGCATTGTCTTCTGGGTTTTCTTCATCATCCAGACACTCGTGTACCCCTTTCTTGGTGCGCTCGTCGAGCGCTGGCTGTACGGCACCGTCTCGGCTGACCGCAAGACAACGACTGATTCGCTGGACCACAACATCATTCTGAGGAATTTTTCGAAGCACTGGACACCGAGCTGGTTGCGCAAAAACGTCCTGTGTAGAATCGGCATCAAGCCCCCGGAGACTGTCATTGCTGTCGACGACTTCAGCATTAAGGCGCGCAAGGGTCAGATTATGGTTTTGCTTGGAGCCAACGGAAGCGGCAAGTCGACGACATTGGACGCCATCGCGGGCCTGAATACCATCACCAGCGGATCGATCGAAATCGACGGTACTGGAGGTCTAGGACTGTGTCCGCAGAAGAATGTTATGTGGGATGAGCTGAATGTTTACGAGCACGTCCGGATCTTCAACCAGCTCAAATCGACTGGTACAATTGACACCAAGGACACCATCGAGGAATTGATCCGCGCTTGCGATCTGGGACACAAGATCAAGGCCCGGTCCAGCACGCTCTCAGGCGGTCAGAAAAGGAAGCTTCAGCTGGCGATGATGTTCACTGGTGGTAGCAAAGTATGCTGCGTTGACGAAGTCTCCTCTGGACTTGATCCTCTTTCGAGACGGAAGATCTGGGAGATTCTGCTTGCTGAGCGTGGCGATCGCACTTTTCTTCTGACCACGCACTTCCTCGACGAAGCTGATGTTCTCGCTGATTATATCGCCATCCTTTCGCGCGGTGTCTTGAAGACGAAAGGCACCTCTGTCCAGCTGAAACACGAGGTCGGCGCTGGCTACCATGTTACATACCCCCGAGACGCACCTATTACACCGCCAGCAGATGCAACGAAGAAGCCTGCGCCGTCGGCAGACATGATACAGTACTGGTTTCCTGACGCTCTTCCTGCGACTCACTTTGTCGATGTTTTGAGGTCCAAAGGTGTTAAGAACTACGATATTGTCGGCCCGACACTGGAAGATGTGTTCCTGGCTATGGCTGAGGAAGTCAAGGAGCACAATCTCATGGATGCAAATGAACACCAAGCGGTGCTCGCGAACAAAGACGACCATCCTTCAGATCAAGTCTCCAACACGGACAAGGGACTCGAGATGGGCAAGGGCCGAGGTACCTCGATGGGCAAGCAAACCCTCATCTTGATGCAGAAGCGCTGGACCATCCTTCGACGCAACTTCTGGCCTTACATTTTTGCTCTGCTGTTGCCTATCATCGCTGCTGGTCTGGTCACATTGTTCCTGCAGAACTACACAGCCGTTGGTTGTGATCCTGGGGAAACCTCCAACGACCCCGAGGTCTTCACGCTTGCCAGCACTGACGCCATCCCGCTCATCCCGATTGGTCCTTCAAGCCTTGTCGGCGATGCTATCGCACAGATCGTCCAGCGTTCTGGGATCAAGAACGATAGCTTCTATATCGTCGATACGCTTGATGAGTTCAACGACTTTGTCCAGACGAGCTTCCGCAATATCACGCCTGGTGGCTTCTTCATCCGCGAGAATGAGTCTACGATAATGGCATATCTTGGAGATGGTGGCGTAGTCGGTGGGCTTATCACACTCAACACTCTCGATAATGTGCTCTCGAATGTTGCCATCTCGACCCAATATCAGCAGTTTGCGGTACCTTTCGCACCGAACATGGGCGACACACTGCAGCTAACGCTCTACTTTGGTTTAGCCATGTGTGTTTTCCCTGCACTGTTTGCTCTTTACCCAACACAAGAGCGCTTGAGGAAGGTGCGAGCACTGCACTATAGTAACGGTATCCGAGCTGTACCGCTGTGGCTGGCATACACTGCATTCGACTTCATCTTTGTTCTAATCATTGCAGGTGTCACGACAGCGATCTTTGCTGGCGCCTCTAGTGCTTTCTACGGTCCTGGCTACCTGTTCGTGGTTTTTGCCCTTTACGGTCTGACCGCGATTCTGTTCTCGTATCTCATCTCGATTGTTGTCACGTCGCAGCTTGCGGCATTTGCTTTTGCCGCCGGTGGTATGGTTTCTCTGTATCTCATATACTTCATTGGATATATGGCCATCCTTACATATGCCCCTGCGTATAAGATCGACGACTGGATCAACATCTTCCACTGGACTGTTTCGCTCATCGCACCATCTGGTAGTCTGCTGAGGACACAACTGCTCTCGCTCAACTCGTTCAGTGTCCTCTGCGATGGCAATAAGATCCCCAGCTACCCTGGCAAGCTTACGGTCTACGGTGGTCCAATCCTGTACCTTACAGTCCAGGCTATCCTTCTCTTCATCGCTCTTGTCTGGTGGGATTCTGGCTACAGACCACCTTTCCTCAACCGCGCAAGCAGTCGTCAAACGCATACAGAAGAGAACCTTGAGACCATTCCGCCTGCTGTCCTTGCTGAGACAACACGCACCGAACAATCCAAGGACAGTCTGCGTGTACTTCATCTGCAGAAGACATTCGGCTCCAACCATGCGGTCAATGACATTAGCTTCGGTATCCCACGAGGTCAGGTCTTTGGTCTGCTCGGCCCCAACGGAGCAGGAAAGTCCTCGACCATCTCACTCATCCGTGGTGACATTCATCCAACGACACATATCAACGGCGGTGGTGATGTACTCATCGAAGACATATCCATCATCTCCAAGCGCGCTGCCGCCCGTGGCCATCTGGGAGTGTGTCCCCAATTCGACGCCATGGATACCATGACCGTGACGGAGCATTTGTACTTCTACGCTCGCGCTCGGGGCGTGCCGGATCCTGTGTCCTCTGTTAACGCCATCCTGCAGGCCACTGGCCTCGCTCGCTTCCAGACACGTCTCGCTTCCAAGCTTTCCGGTGGTAACAAGAGGAAGCTTTCCCTTGGTATTGCGCTTATGGGTAATCCCTCCGTCCTCCTGCTCGACGAGCCCAGTTCGGGTATGGATGCGGCTGCAAAGCGTGTCATGTGGCGTACGCTCCTTGGTGTTGCGGCGCCTGGACGTGCACTGTTGATCACTACGCACTCCATGGAGGAAGCCGATAAACTCGCGACGCGAGTCGGTATCATGAAGCGGAAGATGATGGCTCTCGGTACTGTTGGCCAGCTTGGCGAGCAGTACGGTGATGCGTGGGTTGTCCAGCTCGTTCTCAAGAGCGCCCCAGAGACCACGGAAGAGGAAATGGAGGCGTGCAAGGAGTGGGTCAGGAGGAAGATACCCGGTGTGCAGATGGATAAGTGGGGGTCTAGGGATGGAGGTCACGGGCAGCTGAGGTTCAAGGTGCTGAAGGCTGCAAAGGGTGAGGGGGGTTCACGGACGCCCTCTCTCCACGCCGACGACGTCGAAAAGACAAACGCCGATGCCACTGACCAGCTTGTGCGCACACAGTCCTCGGACCTGGGAGGCATCCCAGGGCTCATCCAGCTCCTTGAGTCGAACAGAGAGGAGCTCGGACTGGAGTATTACTCTGTCTCGCCAACTACACTTGACGAGGTTTTCCTTCGCGTTGTCGGTGAGGATGAAGAGGAGAATGGTAAGGAGAAGAAGCAGTCCAGCGGATCCAAGTTTTTGAAGTTCCCCTGCTTCTAAGTGGGAAAATACATGGCATTCCAGGCGTTCAAGATACCATGAGCATATAGACTAAGAGGCGTTCTGTGCATTCGTCCAAGCAAACAAAACAACTCTTCTGCACCGTGAAGTCCTTCGCACTATCCACCAGTGACGACCTTCAATCCGTGTCCGGACCTGGTGACCCCACAATTTCTCTTTCTCTCGTTTCACACCCAGCCCCACAGTCAGACGCCTACATATTCCTCCTCGTGACTTCCTGCCACCTCCGCAACCCGTCATCAAGCTGCTCATATCCGACCTTCAAGATGTTCACCGCCCCCTTCTGTCCCTCCGCACACAGCCAATCCACATACGTCTTCGGCAGCCCGAGCTGCTCACCCCTCCATCTCACATCCGAGACCGCCCGCAAACACAGACGATGCACACGCTCGTCATACTGCATGTGGGCGTCTGCGTGCTCGCCAAAGCACTGAATCACCAGGGGCAGCCCGAGGACGACGGTCTCGACCCCATAGGCAGAGGATAGTGGCCACGCGAGCAGGCGGAAGACGATATCCTCGATGGGGTCAGGGAGGTACTCAGTCTGTTGATGGATGTAGTCGTGGCGCGGTTGCGGGGCGTGGAGATCTTCGGCGCGCGGTAACGAGGCAGAAGAAGAGGCGGGAGGGTAGGAGCCTGCCTCAGCGATTGCGTTGAGGAGGGCGATGGTAAGGTAGGACGAGGCGGAGTTGAAAGTTGGCGCAGAGCAGGACATTGTGGGCGTGATGGCGTGCTGGAGAGGTGTTTGAGAAGATATGATAGAATGATCATGCAGATCAAGTGACTGGTATTGAAGATGTGCTGTGGATAGGAAGTTTCGTGCAGGTGAGTGTAACTTTGTCATGGATATTGTGCGCATAAATATGGAAGCGAGGACTCACCTTCACCACTGGAAGTAAAGAGATAATGTTACTGCTGCATTGAAAGATTTGCTGGGCTACTTGAAATTATGGGATGTCTGAAATCGTGAAAGTTGAAATGCGTATGCTTGCTTGTTTTATATCGAGACGCTGACAAAGGAAATCTATACAGGATGAAAGCGTATTGTGACAGATTGAGTCATTACCATATAGCATTGTAGACGGCAAGCTGGAACTTGGTAGAAACCATGGCGTCTGAAATCATTTCGAATATCTCCAGTCTCTACAGTCCACGGAGAGCCTTGAGTGAACCCGAGCCTTGGAGCTAGCTGGGTCAGTGCTATCACTTTCGCTATGAATTAGCAACTGTAGTCCGCGGTAGGCTGCAGCGTGCGTCGACTGCAGCTCCTCATATCTTTCTGACCACCGCTCCTCTGATCCTAAATCACTTACATCATCACTACATCCTACTTCTCTAAAAAAATATAATGCGACCATGCCGTTCGTCGCTCTTCCCCTACCCAACATTACTGAATGGCCCGAGACGACGCCCTCCCAGATTGACCGTCTTGCGAGCGCGCCTTCCGCGCCGTACTTCGAAGCCAACGACGCTGATGCTGAAGATGAGGAGCTTGGCTGGCGGCGCACTGTACACGTCAGAGTGAGCCAAGGATTGCGTGACTTTGTGCGCGGTGGTACTGGAGGACATACAACTGGCGAAGGTAGACTGTCACCGTTATCGTAAGTACTTTCAGCCTCCGGGCTCCCCAGTGAATCATCTCTGGGCTCGACGAAAATGCTGACACCCGCTAGGCCGCTCTCTGCTTTGACGATCTTGCTTCGCGATCTCTCGTGTCACCCTCACTGCGCCCGGAATTCTTCCATCTGACTTGCCATCTCCCAATCGCTCACCACCAATCTCTCGAACGGGCCCGGGCTGAGCACACCAGGACTCAATGCATGCGCATCCTGCTCGAACGAGGCCGGACTGAACACGTCTGCTTCTCCCCCATCATCTCCATCTTGCCAGAGCGATTGCTCGACGCCGCTCAGAAACTCCCACGTGGCTTCGAGAATGTCCTCCATGGGCAGGATATATGACATGGAGCGGTTGTCGCGGCCGGTAAAGTCTCCCCATGCTTCTAATTGTTCGAGAAGAGGAAAATGTGTGAAGAGGGTTTGTGACCAAGCGTGGATCAGGTCATCTTCCGCAGAGAGACAAACGTTGTTGCCTTTGCTGAGGATTGTTTCGGGGCGGGCGAAAGAAAGTGCTAACATATTAGGGAACAACGGGGAAGAGGAGGTAGACGGGCTTGCTGAAGGTGTATCAATGGCTGTGACGAGCTTCGTAGTACTCGTCATTGCTTGAGGGGAGTCTGATCTCTGGTCGAACTTGGTCTGAGCAGGTGTGATAATATCGTGGGGAGCTGGCTGGGATACTCCACCATACAGGGGCAAGTTTAAAAGTTGGAGAGGAATGCCCATGCGCAACACTTCGAGCCTTGGACAGTGTCTTGCCAGGCTTGGTAGCGCAGTTGTTTGCAGTATTGTGGCCGTAGTGGGGTGTAACTTCAAGCTTAGCTCTTCAAGATTTGGCAGTCCTTTGCAAAAGTCTTCAAAGTGCATACTGGATATGCCCGAGCCATCGATGGAAGAAGGATCAAGGCCCGCAAGGTCGATGTTGCGAAGTCGCGGACAGCAGGCAGCTAGTTTGACCAAAACCGCACCACCTACCGGCAGATTCAGCTGTGCCGTTGGAAAGCCCGCTGCAAGGTTGCCAACATTGACTTCCAATAACTCCAGATTGGGACACACGAGTAGCGAGGTCACAACATCGTCCAAGATGGTGAGGTCGGAAAGGCGGAGTTCTTCGCTCGACTGGCGTTCGATAGCAAGTCGCAACTCTTTCAGAGTGAACAGATGGGCGGGAAGAGCGAGCGCAATTTCTGGATCGCATACGATTTGCAGACGCTCGAGGCTCATGAATGGTTTGTGCAGCGCAGTCAGACCAGAGAACAAAGGTAAGGTCCGCAACCCAGGATCGAGATCGATGGCCAGGGATCTCAAGCCGTGACGTTTGCTGAGATGACCAAACAAGAGGTCTTTGCCGACAATGCCACTCATTAAGACATCGACATCCTCGAGCTTGGGCAACGCGTCAAGATGGTACGCAAAGACGCTGGCGTGAATCGGATCCTCAGGACTGAAGGTGTCAGGTCCAAACGTAATGCGCTTCAACTTCTGGCAGGGGCCGAGCAACGCTGGCAGTGTTACCTGCGCAACGTAGGATGACCCCCCAGATTGCGTACCAGTGACTGCCAAACTTTCAAGATCTGCATGCAGTAACTCTCGGATATTGTGTTGGTAGAGCTGCCAATCGATATGCAGACCCAAGCTCTTCAGCCGTGGCCATTCGAGGCCTCTGAGGTACTCATACTCATTGTCGTTTTCGTCTTGTAGGTCGGAGAGCTGCAGCTGCTCGACTTTGCTTGCATAGACTTTTCGGCGGTCATGTTGCATCCATTTGAGTGCCGAGAGATCAGGGTGTTGCTTCCAAAGAATGGCTATTGCGGCATCAGCCCAGAGACGGTTGACAGATATGGCCGGTAGCAGCGAATGTCCAACTTCTAGAAGCTCAACAGGACACTCCAAGCTTCGCTGGTGACGATATCGTTCAACTATTTCCGTGTAATGATGCAAGATCCGTGTCACGATGTTGAGATCTGCCGTGGCTTCCGCTTGTGCCATAGCGCTGGTGTGACTTGAGACGAATGCAGGAATTCAAAGAATGGGTAACGAATGGACAGCCGGAGAGTCGGAGAACCCAAACGCCAGGTCAAGTAAATAATGGATGTAACGTTGAGGTAAACAAAATCTGCCCACCGATGCAGATGTGTTGTTTGGAAATTAGCAGATCGCGCTCCTGGTGCGCTACGTAGTTTGACAAGGATCCGGGTCTCCCGGCCCACGCGGGGGTACCTGGAAGCCTGTTCTACCCATGTCAGCAGCTATCGCAATGAGCTCTTAGGGGCCAGATTTTTGCAAGATTATGGGTCACGAGATTTGATGTTCGAAGCTTCACGTTTGACGTCTGGGGTGGTTTTCCCCTCCGGCGTTAGTGACGGTTAGTCAGTGACGCAAGGTGCCCGGACGACAGCACGGCCGTTTTCTAGCCACGGGCATAAGAGCCTCTTATCCCCACCGCACACGCGTTGCAAATGCGCCTGACACGCGCATTTCGATCTGTCGCACTAAATGCGGTCTTAGAGTTATAGACAAACGGACGTAGAAAGCTGCCTGTCGTAACTCCCTGCTGATAAAAGACCCGTTCAACTCCAAGGGCATCACAGCTGTAGTGCTGACCATCACACTGATTACAGGCAGCAGAAGACACAACAACCTCCACACTCGACCCACGGAACTCCAACGCACCATCGCAGCAATGCATCTCATCCTCACTGGCGCGACTGGCCTTGTTGGTGCAGCGGTCCTCGACAGCATGCTAGCGCAGGAGAGCATCAGCCGAATTTCGATCCTTAGCAGGCGGCCAGTGAAGATGGCCGAGGGCCACGAGAAGGCCAAAGTCATCGTCCATAAAGATTTCAAGACGTACGATAAAACGCTGCTTGATGAACTAAAAGATGCTCAAGGTTGTGTGTGGGCGCTGGGCGTGTCACAGAACGATGTTGACAAAGAGTACGCCAAACTCTCAATACCATACGAGCAGCTCGCCAGCTAACGAAGTCACAGAAAATACGTCAAGATCACGCACGATTACACCCTCGCCGCCGCGCACGCCTTCAGGACCTTACATCCTGACTCGCCCTTCACATTTGTCTATGTCTCGGGCGAGGGCGCTACACAAACGCCAGGCATGTTCACACCCATCTTCGGACGTGTCAAAGGCCAGACTGAGACGGCGCTGCTAAATGTCCGCAAACAAAACGCGAATTTCAAGGCTTTCAGTGTACGGCCGGGTGGTGTTGACTGGACTGCGCACCCAGAAATCCACCCTTTCATGCCGTTCCAGCCAGCCTGGAAAGCCGCGTTGGTTCGACCGATGAATCTCATTTACAAGAGCATGATGACACCGACACAGCCCATGGGCAAGGTTTTCACCGAGCTCGCGATGAGCAAGGGCGAGCCGCTGGAGGGTACCGGTGTAGGGTTGGAAGGCACGTTGCTCACCAACATCGGTATCAGAAGGCTATCGGGGCTGTGATCGATCCTTCTGCACTGACCCTGCTTTTGTTACGTCGACCGATCTATTTAGCGAATTACATTATCCCACAAATTCAGAGTTTCTTTTCTTCACGCCCGCAGCATCCTTTGCATGCGAATAACCTCGTCTCGCCTCGGCAGGGCGCACAGTTGAAGGCTGTCGCTTCGCCCCGAGAGCTGCGCACCGGCTCAGAGCTCGGAAATTTAATGGGAGAGCACTACGAATGTCCTGACTCTTTTCATACACTTGCTCGATCTCGCGACTGAAGATTGCCGCTTCAACGAGCTTGTGTGTGCAAATCAAACAACCTCTATGAGAACTACGAGACCTTCGATGACACGAAGGGAGCATGAAGCTACGGTGGCGCCAGTGCTTCACAGATCTGCCATGGTCGAGACTGAATAGTCTTGCGAAAACTTGTGTACTGTGGAGGACCGAAAAGACAACGCGCCGGTATATGGCTGTGGAAATGGGGAATTGGCGTGCAGAGCGAGAGCCGAGCTACTAGGTGGGTCAGAGCACGCCCGTGGGCGGGAAACTGGCGATGACGGTGTGTGCGCGAAAAGCGTGCTGGATACGGTGGAGATGCCAGCTCACGAGGTGAGCACGTATAACATGGGTCAGCTTATGGAAAGGATGGACTGGAGACAAGAGTAAGGAGATGTTGAACTGCAGAGGGAGAGGACGGAATGACGGCTGCGAGTCCGAGCGTGAGCAGGGGGGAATCGTACATAGGTTTAAAGATGGAATATATCATTGCAAATGGAATGTGAAGCTTTTAATGTGTCAGGATTGAAGCCATGGTCTGGGTGCAAGAGCTGCAATTGTCCTCGGTTGCCGAGGGTACATTTTATTATTCGATGCGTGCAATGCATACGTATACCCGCCTTGGCAATTCCACGAATCCATGCTCGGCATGTTCTCGGGCCGAACAGTACCTATTGTTAAGCCTTGGAGAGGCTGCCCATGTAAAGAAGCTGTAGCTATCAGGACGGGACACCAAGCGGCTTGTGCTGCACTCAGTGTCGTGAAGATCATCGGGGTCAGTATCGGACGTGATACCCCGGGTCTAGACGTCAAGCTTGCCAGTACAATTCACAAAGTACGTGGAATGTGCAGATAGTGATGAGTATGCTGTGGTCTAATAAGAAGCTGTATTGCTTGTTTCGGTCGTATCGATATCTACAAAAGAAAAGAGGAAGCCCGTAGGTAGTGTCCAATTACAAGATGCGGATGCCATGCAATGCAAATCTCCCCTCCCAGTCCATTTTCAGATCAAGACTATGGTATCAGACAATAGGAAACTGCGCATTAGCCATTAGCTTAGTAGTTGTATCTGTAGCACAGGGTCGAGCTCCGGGTGTTAAGAATATCGCGGATGCGGACAGTGGGGCGGAAGTCGTAGACGTTGACGGTTGTGTCCAAGCGGAGCTGGGAGCCCTGCGAGTCGGTGCCGGAGATCTGGGTGACGCGGGCGTCGCCGCCATTGTTCTGCCAGATGCGGAAGTTGCGGTCGATAAAGGCGTGGTGCAGGAAGAAGATGGGGTCGGCGGGCGACGCGTAGGTGTCCTGCATGACGGAGCCAATACCGTTGTGGCCCCAGGCGTGGGCACCACCCTCAGCGCAGGAGGCCATGTCGGGATAGGTAGAGCGGGAGTTGCAGGCGTCGACAATGGCGCTGCCGGTGTTGGCGGTGCGGGAGTCGTCGCCATTACGGGCCAAGCAGTGGCGAGTATTGCCAGAGCCCGGACCGATGTTAATGGCAAGACCAGCAAACTGGCCGTTGGTCACGCACTGGCCGCCAATGTTGACGCTGCCGAACCACTGGCTGCTGAAAATGGACGAGGCGCCGAAGCGGCCAGCGTACCTGGTCTCATCAAACCAGGGGAGCTCACGGTTGAAACCGCAGTCTGAGCGGAGCATCTGCTCGAAGGTCCAGAGGTAGTACCTGTGCCAGAGGAGGAACTTGGCGTTACCATGGACGTTAGGGGTCAGGGTCTGGTGGAGAGCGACGAGGTCCTCGTATCTGCTCTGCGACTGACGGAACTGGCCAGATGCCGGGCGGCTCTGCAAGCACTTGATGGCATCAACGTAGGCCTGACGGTCAGAGTTGGAGTAAGAGTCCCATTCTTGGCGAATACGGGGGTTGGAGCAGGTGCTCTGCCTCTTCTCGAACTTCTCTAGCTCCTCGTCCAGCTCAGCGGGGTTCCTGGGAAGAATGGAAGGAATGATGTTGGGAAGGAGGTCGGTGATAATCTTCGACGAGGGCGTGTCGGGGATGACGAGCTCAGGGAGCTTGTTCTTAGCATCCTGAATGTTCTCGACGATGGTGGTGACCGTGGCGTTGACTCCTGAGAGAGCTTCTTCAAGCGAAAGCGGACGAGCGAACTTGGGTGTCTTGAAGTCGTCGAGGGGGAGGGCTGGAGGTAGAGCGACGTTCGAGGGCAGAGAGGTACCCTTCGCGGGAGCAGGGTTTTGGGGAAGCGCATACGCTGATCCGGCAACAGCCAAAACGGCTGTGGTAAACGACAGATGCATGATGGTGAGCGAGTGTAGGAATTAGATTAAAATATAATACTAAAAGATGATGGAATGTTCCAATTGAACAAACGAGAGACGTAGAGCGGATGCTACGGAAACGTTTGCGGAGAGACAGACCCCTCCCTATATTCTTTGCGTTTGGGGCCCGCCATGAGTATCTCCTCGATCCGCCAGTTCGCGTCAGTCTCTGCCAAGCAGCAGGGAGTGGGAAATGCAAGGCCGCAAGAGGGAAGATGGCGGCTTACCAAAAGACGCCAGCCAGAATAGTAAGGGGCGAGAGCGAATCATCCAGCCGGCTTAGTGTTGGCATTGGGAAATCTCATCTCCGAACGACCGCCACCACCGCGTATGGTAAGGCTGAGCAGCTTCACGAGCGCCAGGTTATTGGGACCACGCCTCGAGCGCGCGAGGCGTGCTTAGGGCCCTCTCCCAAGCTGGTCACTGTGAGGTTATGCCGGCTACCGGATGTGCTGATTGGCACAAGGGTCTGGGTCGCCGTTTACGAGAATAGAATAGCCGAAGGAACGTCGCATCCGCCAACTCCAGCGCGATCAGAAGCTTTGTGGTGCACGCTGTTCAGTGACGGTGTCTGCAAAGCTTTCGCGCGGCATGCATAATTCGTTCTTTGTTCTTCTTGGCCTGGGCACTGTTGATGAAGCCTGGGCGTTCTCGAAGCCACGGACTCCGGCTGCGAAGACTCTTCGCTACGGGTCCGTGACATCGAGAGGGTCTTCTCCACGTCGCGATTGCCGTTGCTGCTCTACCTTTGGGTCCGCCACCGTCGAATGCAGCCTCTTGCGGATGTAAAAGGTGACGGGACCTTGCTAAAACTACGCCATGTCCAGCCCAGCGTGAAAAAAAAATGTTCGATGTTCACCGGACACAAAGGACTGTGCAAGCTGCAGGAACAAAATCGTGCCAGTCAGTTAGCTCATGCCTAGCTGCCAACCTCGCGAAGGCTTGTTGAGTGACACAGAACCGTGATCTGAGATTACCCAAGCCGTTGCCACGTCATGTGCAGTGGTGCGCCTCGCGACTACCCAGTGGCGCTCGTACCGTCCCGTTCTCGCCTGAAAGTGTTGGCCTGTCTCTTCGTATTGCTGACTTGCTCCTGCACCACCGTATTCGAATCGCACTGCAAGTGCAATCTGATTGACTTACTGATGCGCGCAATCAGGCCTCACAAAGGGATGCCAGGCGGGAGGAGCTGCACAACTCTGCCGCTGTCAGCCGCCTTCTCCGGCTTGCAGTAGCCGCTGATCTCGCGCGCGCAGCATATAGCATGTCGCGCTTGCGCTGCTGGGAAACCTTCATGGGCCTTGAAGATCGACCTGACACATGCTGGCGGTGAGTCTATGACGGTTCCGATGTTGGAGTCGCAGGTTGACTTGACGTAAATCAGCTCGTATCCAAGTCAGAAGACTTCGAGCAGCATGATGGTTGTAGATTTAACTGCATAAGGTAGGGCCATGCAGGTGCGTGTTACCAAGATTAGACATTAGCGCCCCAATCGAAGATCGTATAACTTGACTTTTCAGGGCGTCAGCCTTGCAGCAACCGAGTCTCGACTAAGCGTGGCTGGATCTGAATGCGCGTGGAGTGACTTGTTGGGCTGGTCTTGCTGGTGATGTTGCATTTCAGGGAATGGCGATTACGCGGAGGCAACTCTGCTTCCACCTGTCGCTGTAAAGTGCAGAATACACTATTGTCGTGGCCCGTCGTGGAAGCTGCCGCATTGATGTGCGTATCTTTTCGTTTAGTTCCACATGTACCACCAGAGCTGACGGCCAAATTGAGAAAGACTGAAGCATTCAGCCCGTAGTCACTGTAATGACAGAATTGCGTGGTAAAAACGGATCTGGGCACGAAGTGTCTGCTGACTGTATGCGAAAGTGACAAGGAAAGTAAAGGCCAGGTAGATAGAAGAGGCTGGAGAGGGTCTTATGGAAGAGCTGAGAGACCTAAATTTATATTTGCTGGGAGTGTTCTCACGGTTCGTAGGAACAAAGCGCTCGAAACCGCTCATTCGCATCGTACGCACCGCCAAGCTAACAACTCAGCTATCTCGGGGTAAGTGCTATCAAAAGCAGCATGATGGTCAAGATGCTGTCAATTTTCGATTGTAGTTCCATATTGGTAGCACGTTCCCGCCAGCTCCGATGTTGATGAGGAGTGGTGTGGGCCATGTGAAGCTGAGTGCAATGAAGTCCCCACTCACTAAATGGGTGCCGGACTGTGAAGATTCGCGGTGCCGCATGTGTGCTCGAAGCTCCACCATATGCTATTACGGCACGTCCCAGTTCTTGCGCTAATTACATATATGTCAGATTCTGAACACAAAGACCTTTGTTGTGTGCAACACACCAGAGTGGTGAAATGCACGTGGGAGAGCCTTATCACGGCGCGCGGATGATGCCGTCATTTCAGACCCTGCCGAGGTTTGGAGCTAGCGGGGTCGCGTCAAGCTCCACGACGCGTCCATCGCACTTTCCGCCAGCCTCCGATTCAAGGAAGCGCGACTTCCTCAAGTCGACAGTCGCGGCCGCGTGACCAAACAACACCTTCGCTGAAAATTCGAGGGCGTCCAACCTGCACCATGGACAGCGACGCGGTGCCGCCGTCATCGCCGCCGCACGCGATCGCGACCGACCTTCCGAGCTCGCCGTTTTTCGAACCGCAACAATATGGCGCATTTTCGCCCAAGTCAAGTTCGCCGCCTCCGTTGTTCTCCAGTGACGACTCTGGAGAAACGCTTGATATCACAAACTACGAATCGCCGCGCATATTCAAAAACAAGCGCAAAGGTGCTTGGTACGAGACCGATCGCGGCGACGCATCACAGGTCACACCCGAGCCTAAGAAGACAAAGATATCACGCAGCTATGACTCAGGTGTCTACATGATGAGCGACAATAGCGATTGCTCTGCGGATCCCCTGCCCGAGCACAAGTCGCCGTTTCCATTTACCGAGGCTATTGTAGAAGATGAGCCAGAGCCAACAAGCATAGCCAAAGGCACTTTCTACTCTATCCTTCGAGTCGGATTAGACAGGAATTGTCAGGACTACGACTTCTCGGGACTGGACCTGAGAGATCTTGACATTAAGCAAATAAGTGATCTGAACAGTGTGATTAAGAACCTCCCAGATCCGGGCAATGATCTGCCTGCAGAGGGCCAGTATCGTTCCATGGTACCTGAGCTCTACATCAACCTCAGCCAGAATATCTTAGGACGGATGACACCATCCTTGTTTAATCTGCAGTATCTCACATCCCTCAAGCTCAGAAGCAACCGGATAGAAGAATTGCCTCCGCAAATCGGTCAGCTACGTAATCTTCAGGAACTCGACGTGTCTCTCAACAAGCTCCAACATCTACCCTTTGAGATCCTTGAGATGCTGGCACCGCATGGCAAACTGGAGCATCTCACGACTCTCGGCAACCCCATGCTAGAACGCGTATCTCGGAATCGGTACCGAAAGCTTGATGAGCGCGTGACGTTCACGTCATCCAGAAGGGACATCTACCCACGGTTACAGTCTTGTCCAGATCCTGAGGCCCTGGTCTGGCACATACGATACATCGAGTCGATGGAGAGTTTTCTCGCCGCGGTAGACTCGAAATACACAACAGGTGGGAGAAGTGCTGACGAGCGCGTTTTCGCACATCACCCTGCGGCTCGTATCGTGGCAGACTCGCCCGCGTCAAGATACATTGGTAGAACACTGGTCTCGTATTTCGATCAGACTGGCCAGCTCATCAAAGGCTCACCGGCTCAGCCTTCACCGAGCACGAATGACTACCCGGTCATCGTCGAAACTGACGGGGGTGCATACGGTGTCCCTTCAACCCCCATATTCACACCACCCGTAGGGTCAAGGATACCGTCCCTTCTCACGATGTCCGTCTACACTGCCCTCAAGAACATCACGGTCGAAGAGACGAGAGTTAGGCTAGGTGAACCCAGTGAACCCATACCTCTCGATGCGTCTGTAATTTTCAGGCGAGCGAAGCAAAACGATTCCGACACAGGCTTTGGCTACTTTCACCAGTGTCGCGTTTGCAAGAATGACTACATCGTGGCAAGGGCCGAGTGGATTGAGTTCTGGAGCACAAGCTTCACGGTTTTCTATCCCTTCAAAGTCAAGGTGTGTTCTTGGAGCTGTGTACCGCCTGATATAGCCAAAAGACCTGAGAAGGAGTTGACGTGGTGATATCTGATTTGCGACAGACTCATCATGAAGGGTTTTATCTGCAGCCGGGTACGCTTTGCATTTTAGCGGTGCATAACGAGCGCTGACAACATTCCACTTGTCTATCTACATTTATGAGCGCCGGTATACTTCGGTCAGCGAGACTCCTTGCTCTTGGGGTTGCTAGTGCCCGAGTTCACCTACTACGAGGTGATCTGAGGCTGTCTCAGACCCATCTGAAACAGCACATTGTATACAGCTGCACGTGCCTACGCCAGATTTCAGACATATCATAGAGTTGAGCTGAAGACAAAGGGACAAGGAGACCAACTTCCAAGGTTCATCACTCCGTCTCACTCGACCAGAACGCACACGTGCACAGTGAAAGAAACGCTCTTGATAATTCGATCATTTTGCACAATGTTGCCCGCTTGTGACTTCGAACAGTGCAAAACATGACGACACATCTCAGCTGGCAACAGAGACCTCGACATCGTGTTTGAGCATGCGAGACGTCAACAATGTTACCTCGCCTTGCGAACTTGCTCTTGAATATGCAACACGCCGCAGTCGTTGACCATCAATCATCCTGGAAACGATACTAAACCCACTCCAAGCAAGCACGCAAACAAACACAATGCTGCGCGACACTATTTTCTCCTTCCTAGGCAAACCAACCCGCCTTGACAACGCCCGGAAACACATCTCACTCGCTACATTGCGGCTTCCCCACAAGATCGGCACTTGGAAATGCATCTGCGGTCACACAAACTCCATTTACCACCTCTCCGGCCACTTGCACCCCCTCGGCATCATGGCGTGCGCCCGTGATGACTGCGGACTAACTTGGCATCCATCCACAAACCCCATCACACCGCACCACCGCTCAGATCTAGTGGTGCACGTCCGCCTCCCTGACCCGAAGAAGTCGAGTGATGAGGAGACGCCGTATATCCTTCCGTCGCCAAAGAAGACCGTGCTGCAGAATATTGAAGATGGTGCCTGTCCCGAAGGCTATGGGTATGTCTGTCTCAATGAAAAGTGCGGGCTGAGCTGGGCGACAAGGGTGGTGAAGGAGTGGCCTTGGGGAAGCGGTAGGAAGATTTTGGCAGTTGGTGGGCGCCGGTGGAAGGGCAGCTGTCTTTGCGGGAGGTGGGTGCAGGTTGGTGGGGGGTTTGCGGTGTTTGAGGTCGTGAGGCGGTAGTACGGTAAAGATGTACAAGAGCAGATGCGAACACGAAGTAGAGGGTAGACAACTGCTATTGACATCAGGATATTGTAGAGATAATGTTCGTCATGGCACGTATTTGAGAACATGACCGAGCTTGAATGGAGTGACGGTATCCAGTACCAGCATGGGTCTCGCGAGGAGCCTCAGCGCCATCTGGGCTGGTCGCTGGTGGACGATGCACTTATGTTTATATGATTGTCACACTCTGGATCCTTGTAGATGTTTTGCACCGGGAGAGCCTTTCTTTTCAAACAGCATCTTGTTGGCGAACAGCTCTGGAGCAGATACAAGTATCTTGGGATGTAGCATATAGGCTTGGAAGCCTGCGGCGTCCTTTTCATAGCCCAGCGTGTCCAAATGGACGTAGTACGGAGACCTACAGTTGCGGTATACGGCAGAATGCCACAGGAAGTAACAGTAATTAGAGTGAACCGCAGCCGTAGCAGGAAGTAGCTGTGGGTTGAACCGTAGTACAGCAGTACTACGCCAGAATTTGGTGTTGATCGGAGAAGTTTAGCTGTCACTACTGTTTTCTATTCACCTTCACCACTTTGAATATGTAAAATATTATATTAACGTACTTTGTACACATGTGGACCACCTAAGCATATGAAGCACTTCTGCCAAGCCCCTGCCAAAACTCCAACTCTGCAAAACAGTACAGTACTGTTCAAGACTGTCAACGTAATCCACTATTGAGTGAGACAACGCATCGAGTGAGACAGTTCCTACCAAGACCGCCTACCCCCTTATCAACGCGATATGCCTCAACAATAAGACGCGCAGATATCAAACAGAGAAGGCAGAATCCAGCTTCAAATTTTTCTTTCTGCCTATACTACCTGCTAATTCTAAAGTCTCCAACGCGCTGCCTAGATGTTTAATGTACCTTACGCTGTAAAGGAGCTGGCCGCTAAGGGCTAAGTGCAAGTAAAATTCAGATGAGATTGATGCAGGCTCCGGCTCATATTGATTGATTGATTGATTAGTTTAACGTCCTGTGTGAGTCTAAGACTATATAGGACAAGAGCAGTTAGGCTGCTCTAGTAATTTATAGGTTATTCTAGGTAAGTGAATAGTACATGTAGATTCTAACACATATAGTGAGAGCCTATGCTCTAGTTCTAAACAAAGGAAATTAGTTGTCTGTTATCTGCTAACGTAAAGCACCACTGAGCCAGACACACCACTGAGCCAGACACTTTTTCTTGGCATTGTGAACACCATGTACAGGACAAGCAATTACTTACTACTTGCTGCAGAACCTGCGTACAACGCACTTGCATCAGATATAGACTCTTCTTCTACATCTTTCTAGCACGTACGAGCGTTGTGCCTAGTCTTCCTATAGTTGCCATAGTGCTGTTGACCTGGCTGTGCTCTTTCTTGACTACTACTACCACGCGCTTTCTTTAACACCGTACGAGCTGCAGCTGCGCTTCTAGCTACTAACAATGCTGCTTCACTATACTCTATTGTGCCCCTATGCTAGATCTGCTTTCTTTTCTAAGTCTTGCGCTTTATTATCTCTGCTAGTTGCTCTTTAAGCTCCTATACACAAGCCTTAATAAGCATATTTTTATACAGCATCTCTTTAGATCCTTTAACAAGCTTTAAGAACCCCTCCTAAGCAGATATTAGTAACTGTACAAAGCGCTTGCTTATAAGCTTTAATTATAACCTAAATTTATAGGTATTGCTTAGGGTTCTAGATTACTATAGTATTTCTAGTAGAGGTATTAGTAGAGGGGTATAAAATTACACTTTAAGCTAATTCAGCACTACCTGCACATTAATAGGGACTAGCCCTAATGCCTTAAAGGCCTTTATATAGTTCTTGTACGTGAATATGTTAAAAAATATGTCTCTAAAGGTTAGAAGGAAGCCTTCCTTATTAATATAGAAGACGTGTTAGTGTGCTAAGTCCTAGACGTGTTAGGAGTACCTTAGTTTTAAGAGCAAGAAACACACTACATTAAGTAGCTAAAGTAGGTGCAATAAGTAAGGAGGTATAACGTGTTTCACAAGCGAGCGCCGCACCCAACCGAGCGCCGCACTCTCGCTGCCAGAACGCCGGCGCAACAACAGCGCGTAATGTCTCAACCACAACAAGCTCCTACACTCTATACTGAAGCTGATGTACAGCTTGCTATATCTAATATCTCAAGAAACCAAATTCAAAGTATCTGACGCGCTGAGAAAGTCTACAAAGTGCCTGAACAAACGATCTAACGCTGACGCGACAGAACACGCTCTCAACGCGACTGCGAGCCGAATGCGAAGCGCCTTACAAAGCTAGAAGAGGAGGCAGTTGTACTACGTATACTTGAGGAATCTGCACGTGGCCTACCCTCCTCAAAGGCAGACGTACAAGAAAGATATGGCAGATAAACTGCTAAGAGAGCGCGGCGCAAAGCCTGTTGGCAAGAACTGGGTTGACAACTTGGTAAAGCGTACACCAGAGCTCCAGAAGCGGTGGACCCGCCCATACGATCGCCAGCGG